TCGGTCTGGCCGGATATTACCGTAGATTCATTCCAAGTTTTTCTAAAATAGCCAAACCGTTAACAAATCTATTAAAAAAGGATATCGATTTTAATTGGGGAAATAAAGAACAAGAAAGTTTTGATACACTGAGAAACGCGCTTTGTCAAGAACCGATACTACAATATCCCGATTTCACTAAACCTTTTCTCTTAACAACTGATGCATCCGGAACGGCGATTGGCGCAATTTTAAGTCAAGGAAAAATAGGAAAGGACCAACCGATTAGTTACGCTTCACGGGTGCTAAACGATGCCGAAAGGAATTATTCTACGATAGAAAAGGAGCTGTTAGCTATAGTATATGCCGTGCAACACTTTAGACCGTATCTCTATGGAAAGAAATTTACATTAGTAACCGATCATAAGCCTTTAACATGGCTCCATAAATTAAAAGATCCTACTTCCCGTTTAGCGAGATGGCGAATAAAATTGGCAGAATACGACTACGAAATAATTTACAAACCAGGGAAAATTAACGCAAATGCTGATGCCTTGTCGAGAAACCCGACGACAGGTATATACCCGATAAATATAGATTACGACGAAATCGAAGAATGTTCAGAAGACGATGAGGCAAGGGAAAGGAACGCTCATCCTAGACCTTTGCCAAAATCACCCAGAAGTGGAATAATGAAAGAAGAAGAAGAACCAATTTTAACTAGTGGACCGCGAACGCGCGGGATGGAAAAAACAGAGGGAGAAAGCATCCCATTCACAAAAAAGGAATTAGAAGAACCACCATTTATTAAGCATACTATTCAAGCCGAAATTCATCAAGAACCAAAAATTTTACCCTTAGAATTAGAGGAAACATTAAATTCTGCAAACAATGCATCTGAAGGAGAATTTGAAAATTTAAGTGACAACATAAATCTTCCAGCTCCGCACGTAACCATACCACCTCACCTTTTACAAATAATAAATACCTTAGCACAGAATCATGAAGACGATTTCGATTACCGAAATGAAAAGGAAGACGACGTAAGCAATTAAGGAAAAAGCGACCCATATAATAAAAATTATAGCGATGACACTTCCGACGAGGAAACCGAAGAGGACGAGGAGGAAAAAACCGAAGAAGAAGAAGATAACGACAGTATTGCAGACGTTGACGCTACTTACAATGAATTCGACGCAGATAAAAGGGAGGACAGACCCGAAGACCACATAGTGACACGGGGACAAAAACACAGCGTCATAAACAGTCGCGACAAGATTTTCATGCGAAAGGAAAACTATTTATACTTCCTAACTGCAGACGGTAAGCCTTGCGACGAAGGATCGAAACAACTTCTGAATCGGAATCAATTACCAAAAATTAAAGAAAGTAAAGTTGGAGATATTAATATTATTAAGAGAGGCAATAATAAAATCCATTTAGCTTTGATTTGTAAGAAAAACACTAAGGAAAATTTAGATATAGATACATTAAAACAACTTTCAATTAAGCTACGTAACATAATAAAAGAAAATTCAATTAAAATTTTAAACGTTGCAAAAACAAAATAACTAGACAATATTTCATGGGAACAGCTTTTAATCCAATTCCGAGAAGCTATACGCGGAACTTCAACTAAATTAATAATTTGTCATGGATTAGTAGTAATTCCAGAAGTAGAAAGACGGAAAAATATTATAGAGGAGGCACATTCATCAAAAATTGGCGGACATAAAGGAATAACAAAGACGTATAACCGAATAAGACAAAATTTTTATTGGGAAAATATCAAAACAGACATTAGAAATTATATAAATCAATGTTTAGAATGTCAAACAAAAAAATTAATTAGAGTAAAAACCAAACAGCCCATGATAATAACCGACACTCCATTTTCGTCTTTTGAAAAAATATCTATGGATATCGTAGGACCTTTACCTAT